GTTTGGTGACGTCACTGGGTCTCTGAGATGTACTGGTCGTTTATGCCCCTTCAATAAATACCCACAATAAATTTAAAATGCCCATATTAGCATATAAAATTGATTGATTTAGAAACATTTAACTAATTTAAATCTTTACTCATGATACTCTGATAAATTTACGATAACATTATTTCTTTCTAGTGTTTCAAATTGCAACCACTAGGTATTTGTAATAAATATTTTGTAATTTCGTGCATAAGTACAATTTAGGTCATCACACGAATACAGCAATACGAATATATTACTTTGCATATTTTTATAGCTTACATAGCGATATTCTCATATTTTAGTTTTCTTGTACACACATCAACAGCCTTTAACAGTCCACTGCTGGACATAAGCCTCTCCTTAGAAAGGAGGTTTTGGCCTACTATACCACGCTGGCCAGACGGGTTGGTATAGGGTTTGTGTCAAGTTTTCCTTCTCTATACAGTGCTGGTGTTCTACGCAGTTTCTTCCCTTAGTCGGCTCTTACGACACCCACGGGATGAATAAGGGTAGTGACCCTCTTCTTCTTCTTGTCCACGCATACAGATAAATTACTTAATACTACTAATATTATAAAGTGGAAATTTACTAATAATGCAAGGCATTATATGGATGTATGTTACTCTTTCACGCAAAATAGTCTGTCTTCTTTATAGTCTTGAATAGCACATGGGTTACTTTTTATCCCTAAAAGAATGTAGTGTTCCCGTGGAATGAGCAAGATACAACAACTGCGGATAACCCACTGAGGAGGTTCCCAATTTGGTTGTATAACAAATCAAATCAAATCAAATCATTTATTATTTGCATAAAACAGGTATAAAGGTGGTAGAAGATACATCATATAATACATAGGTACGCTGTAATATAACCTCTTAAAGGTGTGCAAATATTTAGACATAGATATTTAAAAGATTATTATTTAGACGTTCAACATTACAAATACAATTTGAAGAATATATTCATATCATAAATTTATTCAGAGAATTAATAATGTCAAGAGTGTTATGAATGTTATTAAGTCAGATCAATACAATAAAACCAAAAAATAATTAAAAAAAAACAACAATAATAATCAAATAGTCAAAATAATAAAAATGAAAAAAAATATGTCACATTGTCATGTTCAACATAAATTAAATAACAATGAACGAAATTAATTTGATTTACAATTTGTCTTGCAGAAAATCATTTACATTATAATAGCATTTTTGGCTCAGAATTTTTTTTAATGTCTGTTTAAAGATAGTCGGATTTAACTCCTTTATATTCGTAGGTAATTTATTAAATATTTTTGGAGCCATGGCGAAAACACTGTTATGCATTAGAGCAGTGTTTGATTTACACAGGCATAGCCGGAATTTATCAATAACAATACATCTTTATTAACAAGTCCGGTAGTTCAAACTTAGTACTAAAGTTAACAAAAATAAGTGATAAAATAAATTAAATAACGTAATGGGCAATTACCAAATCGGAATTAGTCGCTAAGAAATCTCATGCTAAGCAGATCTATAAACAATGAGGTGGTAAAATGTTTTCCTCGAATGCTTGTAAAGCCGTTGTAAAACTTGTAAAACTTAGGTAGCAAGTCGTTTCTGACGGAGTTGCAGTTCTAACCTAACCTACCTTTTCTGTTAGCTAGTCGTTTCTGACGGGATCGCAATTCTAACTTAATCCACTATTCTGGTTCATCACATCAACAGCCTATGATAGTCCATTGATGGACATAGGCTCCTCCTTTCAGAGGAGAGCCTCTGAAAGGAGGTTTTGGCCTACTATACCACGCTGGCCAGACGGGTTGGTATAGGGTTTGTGTCAAGTTTTTCTTCTCTTTGCAGTGCTGTTGTCTTGCGTAGTTCACTATTCTGGTTGGACCTCATTTATAATGACGGTTCGTTTTCTTGTAGGGTTGCAGTTCTAACCTAACCTACTTTTCTAGAAGCAGATCGTTTCTGATAGGGTCGCCTCAAGCCTTAAAAAATAATGATACAAAAATATCAATACTGCGCTAAAATGATTATTCAATTTGCTAAGCGTCCCTCTGACGAAGATGTATCTCTCTTTTCAATCATTTCGGATTCTGCCGCCCTATTTATGGTACTGCCCATTTTATCACTTTTACTAGCCACTTATTAATTCCACAATAATAATAATAATAATATTCTACCACAATCACACAACGCCATCTAGTCCCAAACTAAGCAGAGCTTGTACTATGGGTACTAGACAACTGATATAAATACATATATACATTTTTTTTGTAAATACATACATAATTTACATAGATTACTTATATATTTTTAGTATTGATATTGTAGGATGAAAGAACCTTTTTTTTTTAATTACCGTCCATGTTTTACTGTTGTACTAATTTACAAACCGCCGATAAATTCTGTTATTAACAGCATTTTTTTTCAAATCATCATAATGACATCTCGAATGTTTAAATAACAGTTTAGAAAATTAGTTCCTTTATTATTAGTTATTGATATCAACTATGTGACGTAGATAGCTAAGCTGTAAATATTAGTGTTGATAAAAACATTTGGTCGAGATTATTCTGACATGAATTGAATCGTACTTTTGAACTGATCGCTTGAAGTGTTGACCTGTTGATAAAGGTTCAATGTGTATTATAAACACAAACAAACCAAGTCTCTTTGTGGCTGTGCTATTTTCTTGTGATAACTGACATCATCATGACATTTTATTGTGTAGATTTATACTCGTCGTCACACTAAATTATAAAGCAACGCAATTTGATTTTTTTTAAACGTGACTATTTTGTTTACCGTAACCATACCGAATCGGCCGCAGTGATACTCACGGCCTTACAGAAAACCTTGTTTTTCTCTTGTTTTGCTCCGAGTGAGTCTGGTTACTAGCCAACATCGGCCCCACAATCCCACATCCCCCTAAAAGCCGGCAACGCGCTGGTATACGTGCCTAGGGAATTTTTTGAACAAAGAAAAAAATAGATGACTACCATAAAATAACTAGTATTAGTAAATCTTTATAATATAGTATGGGCGCCAGAGAGACGCTGATGATAATTATGCTTGCCTAGGGCTCTTTTGACACTCGCTAGGAGGGGTCAGGATGTATTAATAATAATATTTCAATAATGTTTCATCTAAAACGTTTTCCACACACCACCCCGCCGCAAACCTCGGTGGGCTGACGGACCGAGGGGGTTTCCAAAGTACAGAAAAGAGCGCTCTTGACAATAAATCTGCCTCTGAAGGCCAATTCTCGTAATAAAAGTTCGACCACAATTCAGCTCCGATCAACTCTCGATATCACAACTGTCATAAAAGATATTTCCGTAGTAAAGTATTAAATAGGCAACATGAAAATTGAATCAGTAATCTCGTAGTCTTAGTAATAGTTTACAAGCGGAGCTTTCTTTAGGGCAGTCAGAGCTTCGGGCACGCCGTCATCGTGGCGGTCAGACCCGTTATGGAGGATTGGCTCGAGAGGCGTCACGGGACCCTCTCATACCGACTGACGCAGGTGATCACTGGGAAAGGATGTTTCGGGGATCACTTGTGTCTGATACGCAAGGAGGCAACGCCTAAGTGCCACCACTGCGATGGCCAGACCGTGGACACGGCTCTCCACACGCTGGCAGAGTGCCCGGCGTGGGTTGAGCAGAGGCGTGACCTCGTGGCGGCTATCGGAGTGGGAGTTCTCTCGCGCGATAGCCTGATTGCGGCTATCGTTCGGAGCGAGAGTTCGTGGAACTCTGCCGTCTCCTTCTGCGAGCAAGTTATGCTCGCGAAGGAGACGGCGGAGCAGGACCGAGAGAGATTTAGAACTCTCCCGGCCCGCCAGGCCCTGGAACGGGCCAGGTACCGCAGGCGACTCAGGCGCCGGAGGTCGCAGAACGACCTCCGTCCTCCATAATCGCAGGCCTGGGGGTGACAGGTGAGGCCATCTGGAGGTGGGGTGAGGCCATCTGGGCCTGGAGGTGACCCTAGCAGAAGCAGGCCGGGGTGGCGACGAGCGTGTTGCGAAGCGCGCTCGCTTCCAGGGAGCAGAGGGAACATGGGGTTCCCACACGGGGGGGTCGTCTACCTGTTGTTGTAGATGGCCCGAGGTATGTCGGGGCACCAGGGACTTCCTTTCTAGGGTATACCTGGTTCCCCGGCTATTAGTACCCGAGACGGCGTGCGGTTTTAGTCGGTTCGAGTCCGGGTATCCGAGGGGATTTCCTCACGGAAAAAAAAAGGGCAGTCAGAGCTTCCGCTCACACCGTAGACTGTTATTACCTGAATATCCCTGGTCTATTACTACAGCTGTAGTTTTAGCAACTGCATTTTTATGTACACGTAGCCTCAATTCTCGTAATCAAACTATCTCCATACCAGATTTAATCTAATTCGGTTCAGCGGGTAATGATTTCCCATACAAATTTCCACCGCCTTATTTACCCCTTTAAGGATGATTTCTGGGATTAAAAACTATCCTATGTCCTTTTCCGGGACTCGAGCTATCTCTATACCAAATTTCATCTAAATCGGTTCAGACAGACAGACAGATACACTCTCGCATTTATAATATTAGTAATTTTTTTTTTTAAAGACCACTCCCGCCCTAGGAATAATTCCTGTGTCGCGGGGGACTTTACAAACATACATGAAACGGACACAAAGAACACCCAGACTCAGAACAACAATTTGTGCATCACACAAAGTGTCGTCCCATGTGGGCTTTGAACCCACAACACTCGGCGCAGTAGGAAGCGGCGTGGCGATCGCTTAAACCACTACATCCGTGCAGTGCATAATTAGAAACAACTCAATGTTATTACAAAGAAATATGTACTTTGTCAATTTTATTCTAAGAAATATTTAATTACAATGAATTTTGACTCAGTCGGCATAAATAACGTACCTACCAGATCTTAACACTCAGCATACCACCATAGGTTGAGATTTCTTTTAACAAGCTGTTCTATTTCCCAGGTATGACAGCAACGCGGGTAAATCCCGTATTGACTACTATGGCGGTATGGTCAAGACTTACCAGCTGTCTGCGGGGGCGTATAAACCTTTTGGAACATCTGTAAAGGTGGGTATTAGAGTTAGAGTGACTTAGGTCAGACTACTGATTTTGAGGCAGTGAGGGTATCTGTGACTTGAAATAGTGCTGAGATACTATTCAGGTCACTTTCAAAGATCGCTGTGTTGTCCAAGTTGGTGTATTTACCCCTCTGGAGCGGAAAACATTTGGTTGCGATTTTCTAGGCTCAGAAATATAGTGTGGTCATCGCGAGCATTTTCAAGTCACCTCCTTTATTGATGACTAGCTGGTACCCGCGACTTCGTTCGCGCGGAATTTGAATTGAAAATGTTTGTTCAATTTAAGCGCTTTAATTTAGTGGTGTAGTACGGTACGCGACTGCAGTCCATGAGACCTCGGGTTCGATTCAGGGACCGGTTTTTTTTTAAAGGTCATTCGGAGAGGAAAAATAGCCTAGCTATCTAGTAGTAAAATATTATCAAAATCAGTCCAGCGTTTTGAAGATACCCTTAACAGACAGACATACAAAGAATATTTAGGCATAAGCATTGTGCAAATAACCGTGTGAGCATGAAAAAACCTATTATTTATTTTGACATTAAAACATTTTTTTTATTTTAATATTATAGCTTCTTAATTGATAGAAATTTCGAGCTATGTAACTTTTCGTTTCGATTATTTATTTAGTACAGTAACCAGTAGTTTAGAAGTTAGAGTATTATGACATAAGTAGTTTCATATCGTAGTGTTTATATCGACGGCAGAAAATTGAGACGTCTTATGTTGCAAGTTGGCTTGAATGTAAAACTTGCTAGTATGCCATTGATCAGGAAAAACCCGTCGAATGGTCTGCCTTTATTGAAAAAGAGGATTTAAAATACAGCTCGAACTTTAGTTTTACGACTTGGTATTTGGTGTAAAATCGGATATTTCGAGATTGGACAAAAACACTTTCTGCCTTCGAAATATAATCTTCTTCTCTCTACTTCTCTATCAGGCATAGTTTAGGCCTAAAGTTTTTAATTCAATTTATATCCTAATTCCAGGTAGCTCCAGTGACAACTGAGTCGGTTCTGAACCAACAAACATGTTTACAAGTGAATGGTTCTTCAGATAACTCGGTAAACATTCAAACTGTTTTACCTGATATGACTGACTTCAGGTATATAGGTGAGACAATCTAATCTATTATAATTTTTTTTCCTTATGGTGTGAGGGGCTCTTTCGAGGATTAAGAATACCGAGTGTCGCCACCTATATTCATTCTGGGGGTGTCGTAAGAGCCGACTAAGGGAGCTCACTACGCAGGACAACAGCACTAAAGAGAAGGAAAACTTGAAACAAACCCTATACCAATCCCTCTTGCCAGCGTGGTATGGCAGGCCAAAACCTCCTTTCTAAGGTGAGGCCTATGTTCAGCAGTGGACTCCTAAAGGTTGATGTGTTGATGATGATGATGACCTGAAACTTCAGAGAGACACCAGTGCGTTTCTGTCATTTGAGCACAGTTTGACTGGCCATCCGTGCAGTCAAACTGTGCTCAAATAACAGTAGTAGTGTTTAAGTGGTCGCCGCTTTTTTCTGCGTTCCGCTGAGTATTGTGGGTTCGATCCCCGTATGGGATAACACTTCGTGTGATCCATAAATTATTGCTCTGAGTCTGGATGGTCTTTTTGTCCGTTTCATGTGTGTTTGTAAAGTTCCCGCGACATAGGATATATTCCTAATGCGGGAGTTGTATAAAAAAAAAGTAAAACAAATATTTGCAAATGGGGTTGAAGAGGGTTGGGCCTCCGTTAAATTCATTCACTCACTGTATAGCAACGAAAGGATTGCTTCGGTTTTCTGTTAGGTGTCACTCTGGTCGAGCTAAACCATTTGTGCTAAAGCGTAGCTCTCCTACATTGTGTGCTGAGGTCTCGGATTCGATTCCCGGGTCGGACCAAATGTTTGTATAATCTCCAAATAGTTGTTTCGGAGTCTGGGTGTTTTCTAAAAAAAAAGTATAAAAGTATTCTATCAGTCAATCTAGTTTTCAGGGTACAAGCCTTGCTTAGTTTGAAACGAGATGGCGCTGTGTGTCAGATGCCGAAAATATTATTATTTTTGTTTATAATAAGGCATAAGAATTTTGTTGTTTTTTTATCATGAAAGTAAAATAATCTTTAGGAAAAATCAACGGGTACAGGCTTTTATAAAAAAAGGTAAAAAAGCACCGCACACACGGCTGCTGATACACGTACTTATATATTTCTAAATACATATATTTCTATACTAATATTGTAAAGAGGTAAAATTTGTTAGTTTGTATGTTTGGGGTAATCTCCGGTACTACTGATCCGCTGATGAAAATTCTGATAGAAAGGTATGCCAAAGCTACTTTTTACCGCGATAACCGACATACGCGCGGGCGGACCCGCGGGGTAAAGCTAGTTATAGATAAATTACACCCAGAATATTACACAAATTTTTGTCCTGTGTGGACATCGAACCGACAACCTCTGGCTTAACAGTCGGGGTCACTTACCACTAGACCAGGGATTCCCAAACTATTTTGAGCAAATACCCCTTTTCCAAAATGAACTGAAATCCCTATAGCCAAATTATTTTAAAATTCTACCTCTAGTTTTTTTTTCCTTTTGATACAAAATACTTATAAATTGAAAAACTTTGCCGTTGGTTATGTAAGTAAACTTGACATCATTTTCTCTTTAAAATTTAACAAAATAAATAGACACATCAGTTAGTCTTATACACATAACACAACTTATACATTATCTTGAAAGTTTCAAATAAGGACTTGTGTTAATTAATAGGGGTCAGATTTAAGTCCTTGTTGACCCCCAATATCTGTTTTCGTTTATGTCTACCGTTGGGAAACGAAAAACCCCCAAGGGGTCGATATCCCTGCATTAGACTAACAGGCCCGTCAGCGTCAGAGGGATTATTAAGTTTTTTTTGTACCTGTGATACACAACGCCATCTAGTTTCAAACTAAGTAAAGCTTGTATTATAAATACCAGATTGACTGATAGCATACTTATATACTTTTTTTTGAAAATACATATTATACACAGAAAACATCCAAACTCTACCAAATTAGTTCTTCCAGAACTAATCGACTTGTTGAATGTTGTAGGCCCAGACTCCATGATGGATACGGATACAGCCAAATGGCAGATGGTGCAGACAATAGGGAACAAAATAAACAAATACTCCATGTGGGTCAAGTACAAGATGTCATTGAGAGGAGAGTCCATACCCATACCGGTCAGGTACGTACATTACAGGGTTTTTTCTATGTCTTGTGAGTTTAACATGCACCAGAAGGGTTCCGGGCACATTTTAGTCGATTCTCGAAGATATGTTTGTATGAAAACCAAACTTATTTTTAAGGTGTAAATCGGTGTGACGGTAGTAATCCCTGTATCTTATACCAGGCATGGTCTGTATTTTAAGAGGCAGTGTTCGAACAACATTTCATTTACTTGAGTCTATAAATTACGTTATGGAAGGCTTTTTTATAAACACCTGTAAGTCAAAAGGCGAGTTCCTTGCCTCATTTCGAGTTCCCTAAAGTTGGAGTAGGGTGGGGGTGGGGGGAACGGCTCGAACTTATATACAGAGCTATTGGTAACGGTAACAATAATGACAAACACTCTTAAAGAAGTTTTCACTTCAACAGAGGTGTCGGTAACGGTAACAGTGTCGCGAGTTTTTTTTACCATAAAATACATTATTTTGTTTGTTGTTCGAAAATGCCCAACGCGCCCAAAGAAGTTTTCACTTCAAAAATATGCCTTTTTACTCGCTGTTCACATCAACATCACATCAACAGCCTATACTAGTCCACTGCTGGACATAGGCCTCTCCTTAGAAAGGAGGTTTTGGCCTACTATATCACGCTGGCCAGACGGGTTGGTATAGGGTTTGTTTCAAGTTTTCCTTCTCTTTGCAGTGCTGTTGTCCTGCTTAGTTTGCTCCCTTAGTCGGCTCTTACGACACCCACGGGATGAATTGGGGTGGTGACAATTTGTATTCTTAATCCGTTACCACACGGACTCGCTGTTATTAATAATATATTATGTTCACTTTCAGATACGAGATGAAAGGTTACAACAGTCTGTTGGGGTCCCACTACGATCATTACTATATGGACTACACAGATTACGACATCGAAGACATTGATTCGTCCGTTTTTAACATAGATGAAAGTAAGTAAATGTATGTGCGACAGTCGTATAAATACCGCTGACAGAGAGCGATATAGGCATTCTACTTCACGTATGTAGTGGCTACTCGCGGGTTCGACCAAAGTAGTTTGTATGAGCAGCAAATATTTGTTTCGCAGTTTAGGTGTTTCTATCTATAATATGTATGTATTTACAAAAAAGTATATGAGTATTCTATCAGTCAATCTAGCTTTCATAGTACAAGCTCTACTTAGTTTGAAACTAGATGGCGCTGTGTGTTAGACGTCCGAAAATATTATTATCTAAGACTTGGTTACAGATTTTAATGACTTTTTTTAATGTCTAACATATTTACAAATCAATCAAAAAGATCATTTACAAGCCAAACACAGTCAACATACTCAAGTGAAGTGAATTAAATAAAATTCTTTAACGTTCCGTTAGGTAAGCCTCCTTTCTAAGGAGAGGCTTATGTCCAGCAGTAGACTATTAAGGGTTGTTGATGATGATGATAACGTTCACAAATCCATTCACCTATTTATTCCCACGTGGGTTAATAATAATATCAAAATGAATTGATTCTCAATAAGTATATAATTTTACAGACATGAAGTGCTCATCGTTCCCGGGCCCCGGCGACCGTCACTACGCTACGTTTAACCCAATGATGGAGTTCATGCACCCGGCCAGAGACGACCATATCCACCATGAATTTGACAGGTTAACTTCTGACAGTTATTCACTACTAGCTTTTCCCTCCCGCGTATATGTCAGTTATCACGGTACGGCCTCAAGAATCAAAGTATCTTCATACCATATTGTATCTAAATCGGTTCCGCGGTTATTTTATCCCCATACGAACTTTCACCCCCTTAAAGTATGATCTCTGGGATAGAAACTATCACGTGCGTGATAACTGAAGGACCATACTGGTAATTCGTTAAATAAAAGTTATATGATTTAGTAGTAGACTTAAAACAATTGTAGAACAAATCTGGGAATTTGTAGAAAAATATTTAAAAAACTACAGCTCTTAAAGTGCGGTCCCTCAGTTCTCACAGATCATCAGCCAGATCTTGGAAAATATACGAAAAATTAAGATATTGTGACTATAGACATTTAGTGAAGAATTTGTAAAGATATTTACTAAATAACAGACCACAAACCATCAAAGATAAAAATATTATAACGACTAAACTGTGGTCCCTCATTCTGCACAAGAACGATTAATATTTTAGTGAATACTACCAAATCAAATCAATAAATTCTTTCTATTTCTACATGAAGATTTAATAAGAGGCTTAACACATTTTGTAAAAAAGAAATGGAATAAAAATATTGACTCAATTCGAGGAGAGCGACTCTTAAAACTGGTCCCTCAATCCTCACCTCTGCTGACACATGTACATATACTAGCTTCTTTACAAGAGAAATATCAAAAGTCTAGTTTATTTAACTTTTAGTAAAATATTTCTACTAAATAATAGGGATTTAAAAGTGTATATTTTTTACCTCTTAGTTGAGATACTACTATCTTTTTAATCCTATGAAAGTAAACAGAGTAGTGTGACCACACAATGGCACAAAGGAATACTCGTTTATAAAACAATGATATCGGTAGACATAGAAAGATATTGTAGTTCTAGTTTCATATCATTTAAATTAATATTTTATTTTAGGCTTTAAACCAACTTTATACCTGACCATGATGCTCTATTAGTTATACTACTATAAAACCATATGTTATTGGGTTGAGTAGTAATGTTTTATCAGCACATTACAGATATACAGATACAGTATCTCAGAGAAAGGTTCAAGGTTTGACGAACTAGTGTTGGATTAGTCCAATCCATGACAGGGACGCGACATATTAATCTACTGAATCAGAGATTCCCAAAGTGGTCGATATCGAAACAGGGGTTGACAGAAACGAAAACTGATTTTGAGGGTCGATGAAGTATAAAATTCGACCCCTATTAATTAGCAACAAGTGTTTATTTGAAACATTTAAGAAAGTGTATTAGTTGTGTTACGTATACCAACATGTTACAGGAATGACTAAAATTTTTGTAGGAAGTATCATTGTTGTACTTTAAAAAAAACTCAACAAGTCGATAAGCGTGCAGAATTTTGGCTATGGGGGTCTAAAGTATCAGTTCATTTTAGAAAAGGGGTCTCGTACCCGAAATAGTTTGGGAATCCCTGTACTAAATGATATTAGTGATGTTTATACAGACGTCTGCAACTCAAGAGACAAGTGCGTTTTCGCCCTAGGTCCCTTGAGGCAGGGATGAAAAGCGAAAATCAACGATAGAATTGCGTAACGCCGCTTATCTGTGATAGATATATGTGCCTATATATGGCTATTTATTTTTAAATACATTGTGCCGTACATAACTTTTTTTTTTACAGATTCAAGAATAAACATACCAAGCAATACTCCAGTGACCTTGAACATGAGAGACGTTTGAATGTTTTCAGACAAAATCTTAGGTAAGTCTGCAATACATCTGTTTAAAAAAAACGAGCAAACCTTATCAATAGTGCATATGATGTGTCACATTTGACATCATTGGACTGTCAACTATATAACCGCGCGCGCTCATTGGTCAAATCAAATAGCGCGCGCTTCCCGTTACACATTTCCGTCCCTTTTCATAAAATTGCTCCCATAGATTATAGGAATTAATGAACGATGCACTGAGCTAATAAAAAAAATGTGCGAGTATTCTTGCTATGTATATCCGCGTGTTCCTCAGATTCATCTACTCCCACAACCGCGCCCGCCGCACGTTCCGCGTGGCTGTAAACCACCTCGCCGACAGGACCGACGAGGAGCTCTCCGCGCTCAGGGGCAGGAGGTACTCCGGACCTAACAATGGTATGCTGCTACCGTTATTTGTTACTAGACGATCCGCGTAATTTTAATAAAATATAGGGGCTAACGAGCAGACGGGGACCTGATAGTAAGCGACTACCACCACCCATGGATGCCTGTAATTGAAGTCACAAATGTGTTGCCGCCCTTTGAACTCCCCAACGAGATTGGGGTGGGAGGAGGGAAATGACAGAGTGTTAAGGTAATAAAAGGAAATAAAACCGTTTAAAGTCGGTCAAAAATAGTATCAACTCACCTTAAGTCATAATACCTGCCCTGTTACTTTAAAAGATTAATTTTTTTTCGTGAACTACCCACAAACAGAAGCTAATTTTTATTTTTAAAAGAAAACTCCCGCACTAGGAATAAATCCTGTGTGTGTGTGTACATACATGAAACGGGCACGAAGAACACATAGACTAAGAACAACAACTTGTGGATCACACAAATGGTCCTCCCATGTGGTGTTTCAACCCACAACACTCGGCGCAGTGGGAAGCGCCGTGGCGACCGCTTAAACCACTACGCCATCCGTACAGTCAATTTTTTCTTTGTGAATAGGTCTTAAAGTCGGTATATATATATTTTTATTTTTCCCCAGGTCTGCCGTTCCCCTACAGTGAAAGCTTAATTAGATCTGAGAGTGACAAGGTACCGACAGAGTACGACTGGAGGTTGTTCGGTGCTGTGAGCCCGGTCAAAGGTAATTAATACAATACCTCCACACATCTCACTCACGGCCGTCTGATCCCAAACTAAGCAAAGCCTGTACCATGGTAACCAGACTGCTGATAAACATACTTAAATTTCTAAATACATACATATTATTACACTCAGACAGTATAAATCATCGTTCTCATCAAACAATTATTTGTCCTGGGTGGGAATCGAACCCACGACCTCCACGAACTTGACATGCTGTTATAGTTGATTTAAATGAAGGCATATGGATTCGAATGTTCCAGAAAGATTTAAAACATTTCCAGGATGACCTAGAAGTTTCCTTAACATTCCATAGGATAATCTCTGCCTATGTTGTATCAGTGAAAATCTTTGTTCATTACGGATTACTGTGTGATTAATTAAAATATGTATATTTAGTGTATATGTTGGTATATCCATCTAATAACGAACCCCAGAACTTATGTCTCGAAATAATGTCTATGCAAAAGTTTTTACGCTTATTTTTAGATATTGTTTGACATTCATGTTATGAAAACACAATTGTTTTAAATCTTTATCGAGCTTTGTATCCTCCAAAACAAATACATACGTAAATAAATTCATATATAAACTCATTTACACTGAGTGGGAATCGGACTAGCCGCCCAGCTCGGCTCGACGGACCATGTACGTAGGTGTTACCGTGAGCGTGTTCGTTTATCTGAACGCATGTAACAGATCAGTCGGTGTGCGGGTCGTGCTGGTCGTTCGTCTCGACGGACCATGTACGTAGGTGTTACCGTGAGCGTGTTCGTTTATCTGAACGCATGTAACAGATCAGTCGGTGTGCGGGTCGTGCTGGTCGTTCGGCTCGACGGACCATGTACGTAGGTGTTACCGTGAGCGTGTTCGTTTATCTGAACGCATGTAACAGATCAGTCGGTGTGCGGGTCGTGCTGGTCGTTCGTCTCGACGGACCATGTACGTAGGTGTTACCGTGAGCGTGTTCGTTTATCTGAACGCATGTAACAGATCAGTCGGTGTGCGGGTCGTGCTGGTCGTTCGTCTCGACGGACCATGTACGTAGGTGTTACCGTGAGCGTGTTCGTTTATCTGAACGCATGTAACAGATCAGTCGGTGTGCGGGTCGTGCTGGTCGTTCGTCTCGACGGACCATGTACGTAGGTGTTACCGTGAGCGTGTTCGTTTATCTGAACGCATGTAACAGATCAGTCGGTGTGCGGGTCGTGCTGGTCGTTCGTCTCGACGGACCATGTACGTAGGTGTTACCGTGAGCGTGTTCGTTTATCTGAACGCATGTAACAGATCAGTCGGTGTGCGGGTCGTGCTGGTCGTTCGTCTCGACGGACCATGTACGTAGGTGTTACCGTGAGCGTGTTCGTTTATCTGAACGCATGTAACAGATCAGTCGGTGTGCGGGTCGTGCTGGTCGTTCGTCTCGACGGACCATGTACGTAGGTGTTACCGTGAGCGTGTTCGTTTATCTGAACGCATGTAACAGATCAGTCGGTGTGCGGGTCGTGCTGGTCGTTCGTCTCGACGGACCATGTACGTAGGTGTTACCGTGAGCGTGTTCGTTTATCTGAACGCATGTAACAGATCAGTCGGTGTGCGGGTCGTGCTGGTCGTTCGGCTCGACGGACCATGTACGTAGGTGTTACCGTGAGCGTGTTCGTTTATCTGAACGCATGTAACAGATCAGTCGGTGTGCGGGTCGTGCTGGTCGTTCGGCTCGACGGACCATGTACGTAGGTGTTACCGTGAGCGTGTTCGTTTATCTGAACGCATGTAACAGATCAGTCGGTGTGCGGGTCGTGCTGGTCGTTCGGCTCGACGGACCATGTACGTAGGTGTTACCGTGAGCGTGTTCGTTTATCTGAACGCATGTAACAGATCAGTCGGTGTGCGGGTCGTGCTGGTCGTTCGGCTCGACGGGCGCGGTGGAGGGCGCGCTGTTCCTGCACAACGGGAACACCCTCGTGCGCCTCAGCGAACAGGCGCTCGTCGACTGCTCCTGGGGGTAACTATTATATATTTGTACTAACTCGCTCGAAATAAATAACTTGCCCCGTATTTACAACATTCTTTCATTGATGCTGGGCTCCTTTTCGGCCGTAGCGTGATGTTATATAGCCTATACTTCCAATGACATCCCACATCCCAGGATGATGGGCAATCCGACACTAAAGAATTTTTCAATTAGTATTTAGTACTTCCTGAGGTTAGTACGATCAACCAAACCAACTGAGTTAGTTGTTCAGCTTTACATCTATGTAGTTTAGCTTTATAATATTAGTAAAGATATTCACTAATTTTTTTAACCGACTTCAAAAACAGAAAGTGGTTCTCATTTGGTTTTATTTTTGTTATGTTTGTTGTCTCATAATTTCGTAATTTATGCACCGGTTTAAAAAAGTCTTTATTTATTTAGGAGGGTATACTTCCCGGTTCCCATTTAAATTTGAAAAAAAGAACCTCATAGTGATGGAAAATTAAGGAATTCTAATTACTAGATGATATTTTAAGTAAATTATTTGCTACATGTAAGGTACCCTAAGTCATTTTGCCGCCCATGCTTGTGAACAAATACCATTACTTGAATATAATAAAATCTTTGCGCGTTATTCAATAACTTTGTTTTTTTTTTATTACATTTACTTGCCTCGCCTGTTGGTTTAGCGATTAGCGATCTTGACTGCCAAACCAAAGGCCAAACCAAACTGTGTTATGAACACATGCATTTGTTCTGTGAAAGTTTGGATGTTTGTTATTTAGCACCGGCTGAACGGAATTAGATAAAATTTGATACAGGGGTAGAATAGCAAGCTATGGGGCAATTCTAGTAACCTATAAAGTGATCAACAATTTAAATATTGTAATTTTTTAGCTTCGGTAACAACGGATGTGACGGCGGCGAGGACTTCAGGAGTTACCAGTGGGTCATGAAGCATGGCATTCCCTCCGACGAGGAGTACGGAGGCTATTTGGGACAGGTGAGTGCATTGTCACTTTGGAAAGAAAAGTCATAAACGGTTGAAATGAGTCTGCAGTTCTAACTAGAGTCAAATTAAGAATAGTCCGATGCAAGCTGAATGGCGGCTCTGAAGTTAGCTGCGTACACCTGTGTGTACGTACAGTCTAGTCGACTCGACTGTACGTATACAGGAATATTCGCTCGTGTGCAGTGTACGGATATAACTCACACAGTAAAAGGCATGCGTGTGTGTGTGTGTGTCCCGCTGCTGTCTATTATTGTGTATGTTCCGAGCCGCCATTAAGTTTGCATCGGACTGTATAAATATTTGTATTAAGAAATCGTTCGGGTTATCTTTAAATAGTACGTATTATATTCATGATATGTAGGCATATATTTTCCTTTCTCTTATATTTTTAGTTTACTCCTTAAGAATCGATTTTCATATAAGGCTCACGGTATGAAAAAAAATTGATGAGTAAAATTCAGTGATCGAATGACCTCGTAATTTTTTTTTATGCGCCACCTTTCGTGCCTACCTTTCACATGTGTATGTATAACTTGTATACTTGTGTGCAGCCGAATCGTTCTTAAAGAGTAAACTCCAGTCGTGCGTCGGAACTGACACACACACTATTTTATTTGCCAAAATGTTAGTTAAGATTTTTATATTAAGGTTAAGAGGTTAGGTTGAAGAGATATTAAGGTTATTTTTATATTTATAATGGAATTCCTTCATTTATTTTCTATCTTTATTTATGTAAATTTATGTGTTTCAGGATGGTTATTGTCACATCGATAACGTGACAGCTGTAACTAAAATCAAGGGCTGGGTCAATGTTACCACCAACAACGAAAATGCACTCAGGGTAAGTAAATTTATTTCTATAGGGTAGAAGAGGGTCATACCGTTTTTCTGACATTATGTAATAATAAAATATATTTTTTTTAAACAGAACTTCCTTAAACTTTAATTATATTCATTAAAGAAAAGGATGCGTTTCGAAAGAGACCAATTAGTTTACGTTACGTTTACGTTACGTTTACGTTACGTTTACGTTACGTTTACGTTACGTTACGGGCTTGATTCCTATTCAATGTGCTAAGCGACTTAAGCGTTTGGTGCACGACGATTGTTATAAAGGGTCACGCACTATATTGTGGAACGAAATAGTTTAAAAGTTAATATAAAAAGGATTACTATTCAGGAAATTTTATTATTCTAAAATAATAACATTTTATATACTAAATAATTATACAAAACAGTTGGCGATCTTCAAGCACGGCCCCATATCTGTAGCCATCGATGCGGCCCACAAGAGTTTCAGTTTCTACTCCAACGGTGTATACTACGAGCCGCAATGGTGAGCTTTTATTTAAATATCTATTTTATGTCATTTTATACGAATTACAAGGTAAATTGGTAATGATCTCAAAAATAGTCATCAGCTGTGTCGCCATTTAAATACCGCTCTCCACCCCCAGGGTTGGGACGAGGGGGGGGGGGGGGGTGGTAAGCTCACTCGGTGATATGTAACGAAGGATAATTTATTTATTTTATTGAGGTTCACCAACAGTCGTTACAGATATAATACAGGGAGGAAAATTGTACAACAGTAAGTATTTGTGTAACTGCATAACAAGTTATATGCAAAACACCACATGCATGCATGCATCATTGCATAACACCGGTTTTCTGTGAGGTCGTGGTGTTACTCCGGTCGCTCGACCGGAGTAATACCACGACCACGACGGTTTGTGCCGAAGTATTGCTCTGATGCTGGATAACTTTTTTATGACATAGGAGGCAAAAGAACGGAGCTCCTGATGGTAAGTGATTACCACCGCCGTCAGGGAGGGGGGGGGGGGGTGTATATATAGTTCGGGCTAAAAACGGCTGTAACTTTCCGCCATCGTTCCACACGCCTAAATTTTCATCGCCATCACTTTGATAATAGGGACTCCATCACTTTTCAAGCTTACCTCGCACAACCAACCTGTGGAACAAGTTATTGTCTGCGGTATTTCCAGACCGATACGACCTTCAAACCTTCAAAAAAAGAGCGTACTCCTTCCCTCAAGGCCGGCAACGCTTTTGTGACTCCTGAGTTGCAGGCGTTCATGGGAGGCTATAGTTGTTTGTCCCTCTTCCATAAAAAAGGGTTGCAAACAGAGGACCCGACTGCTGGTCCTATATTCATTATTTCAGCATCCATTAATTATTTGTCCAAAAACTCCTATCTTATAGTTTTAACTTTTAAATTAATCATTTTTAACATATTTTGTCTCCAGTCACAACAAGATTGACGAACTAGACCACGCAGTTCTGGCCGTCGGTTACGGCATCCTCAAAGGCCAGAAGTACTGGCTGGTGAAGAACTCCTGGTCCAACATGTGGGGCAACGACGGATACGTGCTCATGTCCACCAAGGACAATAACTGCGGTGTTCAGACAGCTCCCACTTATGTCCTTATTTAGTTTTATTGTAAAATGTTACATAGTACGATCACACAGGGTTGAGATTACCTTAAAGTTATAGATACTGCCGTTGTCCAGTATGACAGCAGCCATTTCTGAGGGTTGTCGCGCATTTTACTTGTTACACATAAAAAAATACGTTGTATCTATGTTGATCATGGAAAATGACGTTCTATTGTCTCTGCCTACCCCGGATTATGACAATAAGACGTGAATGTTAAGTTTGTATGTATGTAATATGTTTAAATTGATTAGCACATGGTTTTATCATTATTTGTATGAAAAAAAATTCGTAGTCATCGTTCATTTCAAGCTGCAACATCGGATCGGTGTATCTCGAAAACGGCTGTAGCTATTTGGATAAAATTCTGTAGTTAGGTAAGGGTTGCTGTTATCTATATGGATTTTTCTTGAAATAAAATTACGACGAAGTTTTTATTAAATGCTTTGTATTTTAGGACTGTTAGTTTGTTTTTTTTTTAATCTGAAATCTGAAGTCTCCAGGACCCTTATAGTCTGTATAACATCACGTTACGACTCTGAGGAATGGAGTAGAGTGAGTGGAACGGCTAGTATATTCTGTAACGGTGTATTTTAGTCCCTTGTGACCGTACTTTTAAGTAGTAAGTTTAAATAGTGTTAAATATTGCGATTTTTTTAAGGTTTTTTTCTCCTTTGTTCTGTGATGTGTTAGAGACAGTTTTTTTTATTAAACCGAAACTTCATATTATCTCCACACTGTCTTTAACACTTTGCGTATGCTTTTGCTTTTGGTTTTAAACGTTTTTTTTTCTTTTGATTTCATTTTACATAATCGTACAAAATAATTAATACTGAACAAACCACATATTGCATGTAAGTATATATCTCTGCAGGAATTTAACTCAATCTCAAATATTTTTATTGATTAGTCCTTGTTATAGCACTTTTAAATGTAGTACATAGACACTAAAATAACCGAGACGAAATAACCCTGATGACCCCGTGAAAAGGTCATCAGGGTCATTTCGACACTAGTCTCATTAATACATATACATATATCCCTATTAGATTCATATTTTACTGTGGCATATTGTATTTAACATTCTAGATGCTGCCATTATATTTGTTTAAAATTGTGATATAAAGTGCTTTTAGAATTATTAAAAAAAAAAAAAAAAATTTTATTCGAAATAGTCGAGTTCAGTGGTAGATAAACATAGAAGTGAAACTTCTTAAAATATATTCCTTTCTTTCTGATTCACTCAACATTATATCTTTCTTCTTTTTCATGTAATGAAATGTGTCTGATGATGCTTCACTTTGATGCGTCTAATAACACACATTATCGATTATTGAAACGCGCTCTAAGTTTAATTTAAAAAAATAATTCATCCGTTTTCTAATGTCAGGACGACAGGTAAAACAGAAATCTCTTTTTATTATAGAATAAGATATATATGATGTAACTCTGCTCTCTGAAATATCAAAAAAATAAAGTTTTATAAAAAAACTATTTTTGTTTTATTAAACATTGCTTTAATATCCATTTTTTTTTAAATTATTTATTGTCTAATATAAAATTCACACATGCATTTTATCCATCGTATACCACACAAACCATCAAGAGTTTATCCGTGGTATACCAGACACATCTCAGTTACAATTTAATTACATATGTATATCTATAAAGTTGAGTATCAGCTAGACAGTAAATATTTTAGGTAAACAGTTTTACAATTTTTTTTATTCATCTTGCTACAGGTTTCGATAGGTATGTTGTTCATTATAGGGGGCAGCATGTGTTCCTACGTCCCATATACATTAGTATGCTTAGGTGTTCTATAAGTGGGTAGGTATGACAAGTGACGTAGTGACTCCAATCTTATATTTTCCTTCAATTTAGCAAGGTTGTGGTATTCCTCATCTAGTACACATACGCTCACTTTATCGAAAACATTTAATATTTGACAGTGTTTAAATAGGCCACATTCGTCTTCTTTAAATTGTAGTTTAGTTTTTCTAGGTACTATTGTTTTTACACACATACATTATTTTATTATCAAAGCGCAATAATCTCTTCTTCTAAGTTGGGGTCGGCTTTAAGTCTACAACGATACGGCTGAAATTAGATTTGTACTTTGAGTGACTGATGATCAGATCTCCACAACCCAAGTACTAGGCGATATGGAAGTTCTGTAGACTGACTGTAGCAAGAATTTATACTGCAACAACCCATAACGATTGCCACCAATGTTAGTATGGCAATAAAAATATTAAAAACATTGTAATTGATGATCTTAGAGGTAAAATATTTTTTCAAATTTAATTCGAATCGAAGACGAAAAAATTAAAATGTATTTTTTTTTCAAAAATATATAAAGATAAAAGTTTAGTGTCTCATGTTTTTGAACTCGATTAAAATCTTTAATACGATTAAAGAAAACGTAGCTCGATTAAAAAAACATGGGTCATGGGGTCCGAGTGGTCGTTCTATTTCATCATCATCAACAGCCTTTACTAGTCCACTGCTGGACATAGGCCTCTCCTTAGAAAGTAGGTTTTGGCATACTATTAGTAATACTAATATTACTAATAGTAGTCAAAAACCTCCTTTCTAAGGAGAGGCTTATGTCCAGCAGTGGACTAGTAAACCATATCCCTTTTTTTTGGTTGTTTGGTATATGGTTTGTTTCAAGTTTTGCTTCTCTTTGCAGTGCTGTTGTCCTGCGTAGTTTACTCCCTTAGTCGCCTCTTATGACACCCACGGAATGAATAGTGGTGGTGACACTCTGTATTCTTAATCTGTCACCGCACGTTCTATTTATAGAGAACTATTTAATTACTCGTGACCCAGGACTTTTTCCTCAGCACAAAGAATTAACATCGAGTCAATGCTGCCTGCTTTCTAGAAACACTACCAGTAGGCGAGGATGCGGATGGCATATGTTGAGGTATGCATGTTTTTAAAGTGAAAGCGCGTTGGGCATTATGGTTTAACAAAAAACGATTTTTTTGAGATGGGGAAAAAACCACTGAACCGTTACCGTTACCGACACGTCCGGATATAAGTTTTCACTTCTATCGCCTCTCCCGGAGTGCCACTGGTTTTTTTTATCCAATAGGAGTTCAAACGAGCAGATGGGTCACCTGATGGCAAGTGATTACCGACGCCCATGAACACCTTTAACTCATGAGTTACAAGTGGTTTGCCACCCTTGAGTCTATTTTTATGATGTTTAGCACATCCATACTTAGGGGAGAGTAATCAATATTGAACCGGCTCTTAAATGTATTTATACCAAAATTACACTATTTTTTTACACTAGCAACAAAAAATGAGCGCTATCAGCGCTACTAATACTCCGCCATTTTGTAGCGCTCCTTCTTGTGCCAATAGACTATACCAAATAGTGCCATTTTGGTAGAAATACATAAGTGGTCCAATTTAAGAGAGTCTGCTTGTTTGTTATGCTTTCAAGCCTAAACCACTGAACCGATTTTAAAAATTTATCCACCAATGGAAAGCCACATTATCAGCAAGTTACATAGGCTACATTTTACGGCGATAACCGAACTAGTTTTTTTATCTATTTAGTTTGGCTGTTATTACAGTACTCACGACTTCGTTTGCGTATAATTCCTATAAGGACAAACTTAATTAAATTGTATTCCTTTTAAAATATTTATAAATCATCATAAACTCAAATAACCTGTAATCCTATAATTTTCTGCTCTGGGTGGCCAAATATTTTGTCCAAATTTAAACGGGACCAATCTTGGATACAAACAATTTAGCTTTCGAAATATCGCTTACCGTACTCCCAAAAGCCAGACGCATTTACTTTTTGACACGCTTGTATTAGCTTGGTATGTGTGTATGTATCCATGTAACGGAATATCTGAACATGATTTTCACCCATTTAAAACGTCGGATTGAATTGTAACTTCGCACACTCATCAAGGACCGATGACAATAAAATATTATAATAAATTTGTGTGATCATCCCTAACAGGATCTTCAGGATTAACGGCTTTTATCATATTTAAAAATACGGGATTGTTTTGTGCCATGTACATTTGTACAAGGCGTGTATCGGAGCATATGTGACTTACTTTTTACTTTTTAGTCTTAATGGGTAAAGAAATATACGATATATAAAAAAAATACTAATATACGATAAACATATTGACTTCATAGTGAAAAAAAGTTAATAAATCTTTAGGTTTTATTATTAGATCAACCTCAAATTTTAACAGTATCAAAACCTATTAAAGTGTTTTATTGTGCACTGGTACGCAGTATCTTCGAGTATGCGTCTGAGGTTTATAACCCGCATTGTAATATATATATATTGATCGTATTGAGTCCATCCAAAAAAGAAGTGTAAGTGTATTGATCACGGATATATGTAGAACAATATATAAGAGATATCATTTTTGCCTTTAACAAATATACGTACTGTCTCCGATATTGTTATACTATTAAAAATCATTAACAGAGATATAGATTGCTCGATTATTCTCGAGAAAATTAAAATCAGAGTACCGCATAATTTACGCACCCTGCATAATTCAACCTTAGCAGTACCTCAAACAAATACTAATAAAAATAAAAATTCATTCATTATTCGAGGCAGTAGATCTGTAAATGATATGCATAAATTGCTTCAAAACCAGACCTTCACAAGCCTTCATCCTGCCTCCAGAATTAAACTATCTCCATATTAAATTTCATCTAAATCAGTTTCACCCCTTTTCGGGATATTACCACCGACATTATTATTTTATTATAATTATATATCCACCCCTTATAGGATGAGTTCTGGGATGAAAACTTCTTATGTCAGACTGGTAGACAGACAGACACACTTTCAAATTTATAATATTAGTAGGGATTTGAAATCAGATAATACGTAGAATCGGTTTACAAATAAAACAGTTTTGAGTTAACTAACATAAAAAATTGCGGAACAAACTTTTTTGTGTAAATGTTTTGTAATCTCATATATTACTCTTTTGTGCACATTTTTGTAACCCATATTGTGCACATAGTTAGATTTTTGAAAGAGTTATCCTCTAACTCCTAAAGGTCAAGGACCCTTTCATCATCAGCTCAGCAACATAAACTATAGCAACCTATATAGCTAGAGAAACAAGCTAAAACACGTTGTCGTGCCTGTAAAATTTTAGGCTTTTTCTCGATTTCTCTGGGATCCCATCGTCTGATTCTGATTTGGTGGTAATGGGAGCACCTCGGGAGCAATTTTGAAAATCGGTTCACTATTGACGGAGATATCGCGTAACAAACATACAGACGAATTGATAACCTCCTCTTTTTTGTTTTTGAAGTCGGTTAAAAATAGTGGATGCCATATCTTTTAATCATGAGTAGTAATGGAGTTAATTTTAACAGATGAATGAATACAAAGTGCTGGGCTTGTCCATAACACCGCGTCAAGATGTCCTCAACGTTGAACTGACGTGCAAACAATAAAACAAGACAATCAAACGATCGGCAATTAAAAAAAAACGACCGATAAGCGATCGATTGTTAAAATAAAATATCAAGAAAACCTGCAATATTTATATAATTAATAAATAAAAAGCCGTGTGGTGTCGTGGGACACCCGATAGGAACGAAGTTGTGACGATCGAGTAAAACTGATCCGACACGATTTTAATTCCAACGCCATCTATGAAAGCGGCTATTACCTACATATTTTTCAGTTGGTTTCTAATTAAAACAATTTATACATTTATAGATGGCGCTGAATGACTGACAAGTGACACTTCAAAATAAAAAGTGTCGTTACAACTTTTCGTGAGAATTTTTTCCGTCTAGCCCCCTTTCACAACGCGCGATAAGGAACTTCGTTCCAATATCGTGATATAAATAATATAATTAATAAACATTTTTTATGGGACCATTTTCCTTCGGTGTCCAGACGGGAATATACACACGTTGCCTAATTTCACCAGCTGGCCTTCACAGTCGTCTTGGTGAATGGTTTTAGCGTACTGAAAAAAAAACATTGTTTTATAACTTCGTATTTTGTTTCTATGTATAAAATTTAACACAATAGAGTCACACCTAGGCACATATGGCCCAAGCTCGACCAGTGATACCACGGCCTCACAGAAAACCGGTGTTTAGCAGTTTTTTCGTTGCTCTTCACCGAGTGAGTGAGGTTATCGAAGCACAAACCCTCCCCTACTGATTCTTGGGGGATTTACTGAAAGGGCTGCACCACATTTGTGACTCTTGAATTGCAGGTAGCCAATGATGGGCGGTACTGATTTACCATCAGGTGAAGCGTCTGCTCCTTTGCCCCCCTATCAACCACAGCCTATAACAGTCCACAGCTGGACATAGGCCTCTCCTCAGAAAAGGGGTTTTGGTCTACTACCTTCCTTCCTTCTATTAGCAGTGCTGTTGTCCTGCGTAGTTTGCTCCCTTACTCGGCTTTTACGACAACAACTGAATGAATAGGGGTGGTGACACCCTGTATTCTTAATCCGTCACCACACGGACAAGTTTACCATAAATATATCTTACCGTCCAATAGTTCCAAAATGGGTATGCTGCTATCACTGTAGGTGGTACAGTGATTACTTCCATTGAATCATGCGAAATAGGGATACTGCCTGGCGCCAATTCATCTAATTGTTCACCAGACTTGTCCATCAAAGCTTCCGCTATTTCTTTTCCACTTCTCATCATATTTTCTAAATCAACGATTTGAAAAGATATTAGTTTGGATTTCTTATTTTTCTTCTTTTTAAACAAATTATCATTTTTGCGTATTATAACTGCATAACCAATCACTTTTGTTTTCTCATTTGAGTTGTCTAATAATTCTTCAATTTTTTTTACTGGTTTCTTTACATGAAACCTTATTAATGGTTTGTATATAGTGTTTAATTTGCTGTCATACTCGTATTTACCGCTTCGGTAGCCATGTGGTATAATTCTGCTGACCAACCGCGAGTTACCGAAGGAATTTTTACTAAGGTCATTACTGAACGCACGTCTAAAATTTGGTTTATCGTGGAAATAGAGTTTATTTTTACTATATTTTGGCGTACTCTTATTAGCATCTTCATGAAGAATATCTTTTAATTGCTTAGCCAAGTCTTTCCTGTATGGGCCGGTATTTAGTTTAAACACTTGAAAACTTATCGCGTGTTCAACAGAAACAAATAAAATTAAAAATATCTTGAATCGTTGTTCGAACATTTCGTGTGAATTGAATGAATTGAAATTCTAATTTCTTTATCTTATTACAATTGGAAATGACTCGTGGAATTAGCGTGATGTCATATTCTTCGTTTTATTTCAAACGATATTGAAATTATTGTTATGTAAGATTTTTTGATACATTTCTTTACCGACTTTTTAAAGGAGGAAGATCTCAATTCCGCGGTTTCTTTTGTGTGTATTTTATGCGAAATTTTTCTAACTTCTGAATTTATATTACTTATTTTTAATTTAATGATTTCCATTTAAGATTCACTTCTAGAGGAGGAAATTAAGCTTATTAGTAATGATTTATTCACAGTTGATTTTTTAAGTTAATTTATTAGATAAGTTGAATTGTATCTTGGCTTAGGTACATCTTATGTTTGATTTAAATTATGAGGTTGTGTGTGAGTCTCTGGAGGGATACGTATTTGTAAGATGTATTTTAATCTGATAAATTATCATGTACATTTGGATTTTTCCAAATTTTATTTAGGACTAACGATGGTTCTGAATAAAATTTGCAAAAAGCATGTAATACTATGTAATATTATGTAGGATTCGAGCTAGTTTCTTTGAATGAAGATAAATAATGTTTACAGACGTCAGGTCTCCTACTTTGCTAAGGGGGAAAGTGGAATTATTATATTTTCAACTCCTCCAATTTATTTCTCATAGTTTCGTTGCGGGTTCCAAGACAGTTTAACTTTTCCTGGGACTTTCCGAGTGTCATAAGCCAGTGTGTTCGTGGGTGACTGTTGTTGATCTCTGTGTACATGAGTTACAGTAGTAGGTAAGTGGGAGGAATCAGTCTAAAAAAAGTTAGGTTATAGTGAAAACGGAAGGGTCGATGGAGCATAAGTCAAAGTCAAAATATATTTATTTCATAAAAATAATTAAAATCGTCTTTTATACTCTCTCAAAAATTTAGCAAAATAGATATTTATCTGTCGAAAATTCATTAAATGCCTGTGCCGATCTATAACCACCCGTTCCAAAGAGTTGAGCATTATGAGAAGAAAGGGCAAACAACGTCACGGCAACTCTCTTTTGAAGTAACAGATAGATACAGTGGCATCATTACATATATACTACAACATTGTTTGGATGTGTGGCCAGTATGCTAGTGACTAAAGATTATAAGATTAAGGTTTTATTTTAGACTAAGAAAATATTCAGATAATAAGAGATAGAATTAAAAGGGAAATGGGGGTAAGGTAATCCAAGTCCCGTGGGAGCCTTTAACAGTCCACTGTTCGACACAGGCCTCTTCTTGGCAAGGAGATTTTGGCCTACTATACCACACTGGCCAAACGGGTTGGTATGACTCATTACTTATTTAACAAATATCAATGGTTCACAATTATTCGCTACTATTTCCGATATATCACATCACATCACACATCAACAGCCTTTAACAGTGCACTGCTGGACATAGGCCTCTTCTTAGAAAGGAGGTTTTGGCCTACTATACCACGCTGGCCAGACGGGTTGGTATAGGGTTTGTGTCAAGTTTTCCCTCTCTCTGCAGTGCTGTTGTTCTGTGTAGTTTTATCTCTTAGTCGACTCCTACGACACCCACGGGATGAATAGGGGTGGTGATACTCTGTATTCTTAATCCGTCACCACACGGACTACGTAGGGAGGTGCGTAGCTACTACGTAAGCCGGTGTTGATAGAGATCCGCTCTAATTCCTTATCGGTTAAGTTGTAGCGAAAGCTCTTATAATTTCCGATATATAGACTTCCAAAATTTCAGCAGTGTAAGTGTCCACAGACTTCTCAGATCTGTCAAGGTCATCAAATATTTACTTGATCTGTGGAGAAGATCACGTAAATATTTGATGCCTTAAAGGTCATAAATAGAAAAGTGGTAACAAAAAAGTTTTTAATATGAAACGAATGTTGAGTGGTGTTCAGGTGCTTCTTATGAGGTAAGGAACTTCTCAACTGTAAGTGCTCGAAGAAAAGTGCTTAACAAGCTCAACTACTTCCAAACTCGCTTTTATTACTGTTTTATTGAAGGTCCAAGTTCGATTTTTGGATGCAAACGACGATGGGGTAATGATTAAAAGGTAAGAGGTTTTCACGAGTTTTATTATAATGTGGCTTCGTTAGCAACCCTTAGCTAGGTATAGTACCTGAGTTTTATTTGTTCGATAACCTTACTTTAGTAAATTTAAAAAAAATAATTAAGATCTGTATGTAAAAAATAAAATACTTCTTTTTCTTTCCGTCCGTGTGGTGACGGATTAAGAATACGGAGTGTCACCACCCCTATTCATCCCGAGGGTGTCTTAAGAGCCGACTAAGGTAAAAATTACGCAGAACAACAACGCTGCACAGAGAAGGAAAACTTGACAAAAACCCTATGCCAACCCGTCTGGCCAGCGTGGTATAGTAAGGCCAAAACCTCCTTTCTAAGGAGAGGCCTATGTCCAGCAGTGGAATACTAAAAGCTGTTGATGTGATGTGACTTCTTTTTCTTTAATTATTTTAAATACAGAGACAAACGATATGTATCCAAAGTAAGGTTAGTATGTTTCTTCAAGAGAAGAACAAACGTGGGACGAGATCAAATTACATTTATAATTTTACTAGCTTTTGCTCTTTCTTTTACCTACCTCCTATATCATACTTGTAATATGAGTAAATGTGTTATCAAGAAGAAAATCTTCCCTTCCCCTTCGTCCCCCTTTTTTTTTACATCAATAAACTTTGTTATTGGCATACGCCTTCGTATTACAAAACACCTATTCCGAATAGTGAAACTCAAACTGTTAATTGTTAAAACGGTTTTAAATAAAAATGCAGTTTTCGTAATGAGTGTGGTGACGGATTAAGAATACGGAGTGTCACCCTCGCCGTTTCCTACTGCACTGAGTGTTGTGGCTTCGATCACCACATAGGACAACATTTTGTGTGATCCACAAATTGTTTTTCTGTGTCTGAGTTTTCTTTGCGTCCGTTTCCTGTATGTTTTGTCACCTGCGATAAAAGGAAATATTCCTAGTACATAAAATATCATTTAGAACACAAAACCTATACGAAATATTTTAAATTTGGCACTTTCCTCCAAACCTTGTCAGACAAAAAATGGGAGCCGACTCAACTTAGGGACGCTTCAAAAGGTTTCTTTTAAAATTAAGGTTAAAAGCTTTCCACGGGCAGAAAACTGAATTTTACCTTAACCTCCCCGTGGCTGTAAGCCTGTAAGTGTATCAAATTGAGTTTCAACTTTCTTCACTTAGCGGATTATAGAAAAGATTTTTAAAGGACATCTATTTTGTAGTTATCTGTGGTGAACTTGTTCTTGGATTGTTTAAAATTACGAGTCAAAGTTAAAGCAATATTTTGCAAACAAATTTATATCACAACGGGTATACAATATACAAAAATTCTCCCTGTCACACTCTACTCTTTATGACATTCCTCTGCCAGATTGGGCAGCTACAGAAAATATATTTCATCTCAATAAAGAGAGATCTGATCATTAAAACATTAAAGTTTCCTCTCTCCTAATCACCTTTTTTTTTGGTGACATTGTAGAACATCCCTTCGGATCTCCGGCTCCTAGGGGACCCAGGAGCCTGGAGTATGTGGTGTTTCCACTAAAAGCCACTCCGACGATCGGGCTCAGGCGCCCTACTCTACGGAGGACCTGTTTATTTTACGCAAGTAATGCTTTTCACACCTTACTGTCGGTTGGGGAAACGCAGGATGTGTGTGTGACTCTCGGAGCACTGGTCTACCCATTAAATCCCTGCCATACCCCATGTCTGAGGCACATCCAGAGGACCTGGATCATGTGATTTCATTCAGGTCCCTCCGATCGACGCCGTACCTAACTAGTCTATATCCCGAGTGTTCTCCCAATCACCTGGTGCTGTGCTCGACAGAGTCTACTATGATACATGTCATCAAGTTTGCCTTATCTTACCAATAATACGAGTAAATACTTGAACGGCACTACATAATAAGTGTTGATTAAACGTCATAACAAACGAACTAACCATATATATCACTTTCGAATTTAGGATTTGTATGTATTTAGTAACGTGTTGTAAATATTAGTCAGATAATAAAATGTGCCACGTGTCGAGTTATCACTACTGGACTAGACCAGCACCGGATCTAAAATTTTTCGATCCCAGGCAGAAATTTGATAATGGCGCTCTCTCCAGCGTTTGAGATAAATTACTTTAAAAAACTCACAAATATGTAGGTTCACTTGTAGTGTGGGCCTGTGGGGCCTTTTTCTTACAAGTCGACGGAGAGCCAACCAGTCTTTCGTATGCTAGGCGCTTTGTGGAGGAAGTTCTTTATTTTTAATCCTACTATACAATGATTTTGGCGCTGCCTGAAACCGTCGCCCGTGCCCCCCCCTACCCTAGATCCGAGGCTGGACTAGACTTCTATTAGAATATCCTAGATAGCAATAAAGCAAATCAATACTAATATTATAAAGCTGAAGAGTTTGTTTGGTTGAACACACTAATCTCAGGCACTACTGGTTCGAATTGAAAACATTATTTTAGTGTTGGATAGTCCATTTATCGAGGAAGGATATAGGCTATATAACATCACGCTAAGACAAATTGAGGCCGAGCATCAATGAAAAATGTTGTAAAAACTTATTACTTTTGAGGGAAGAAGTTGTTAGTACAGCTTATTGTATAAGAAATATTCCGAACCGTACGCTTTTACGTCCGAATTTACGTTCAAATAGATTTGAGGGCGTCGTTAGGATAATTTCTATAAGAGTAAATGGCCCAGAGGGGTGCCAAGCTCGCGGATTTATCGTCGACAGCAAGGGGTGTAATGTGAAAAGAACAAATGCAAGATAAGATATTATCGGTTTTGGGTCATTTATTTCTTCGTCTGTGTCGATTTGTGATTCCAGAATGTGAGAATAAAGAAAAAGGAGTTAATACACCAGAAGCTTGTTTCATGTGTGCTTGTAGTATTAAGTACTTTAATATACTTTTGCGATTTCT